TGAAAACTGCTTTTCTAAATGGTGATTTAGAAGAAGAGATTTATATGGTTTAACCTGAAAGTTGTGTCATTACTGGACAAGAAAATAAAGTTTGTAAATTAATTAAATCTCTTTATGGCCTTAAACAAGCTCCTAAGCAGTGGTATGAGAAATTTGAACAAGTCTTACTGAGAGACGGTTTTTCTTCAGTTGAGGTGGATAAATGTGTTTATACTAGAGGTAGACAATGATTATGTAATAATATGTCTGTATGTTGATGACGTGCTTATATTTGGTACAAATTTTAATATTGTGCAAAGTACAAAATTATTTCTGTCTGCTAATTTTGATATGAAAGATCTGGATGAAGTTAATACCATATTGGGAGTTAAAGTTATAAGAAGTGAAGATGGAATAATGTTGTCACAAAAACATTATATTGAGAAACTTCTTAAGAAGTTTGAATATTTTAATGTCACATCTATGAGCACTCCTTTTGATGCTAACTCTCAGTTGAAAAAGAATAATGGTGACTCAGTTGCTCAGTCTAAATATGCTCAGATTATTGGGAGTTTGATGCATTTAACGAATTTTACAAGGCCTGATATAGCCTATGATGTGTGTAGACTGAGTAGATATACTCATAATCCCAACAGAGAGCATTGGTTTGCATTAGCTAGACTAATGAAATATTTGAGAGGAACCATGAATTATGGTATCCTATATAGTGGATTTCCTTCTACTTTAGAAGGGTACAGTAATGCAAACTGGATCTCTGATTCAGATAAGACAAAATCCACTAGTGGTTATGTATTCACCCTTGGTGGTGGTGCAATATCGTGGAAATCAGCTAAACAGACGATGATTGCTAGATCGACTATGGAATCATTGTAGCTCTGGAATTAGCTGGTTCTGACGTTGAGTGACTAAGAAATTTCTTAGCTAATATCCCTTTAATAAAGAACGTATTGCCTCCCATGTCTATACATTGTGATTACCAAGCGGCAATAGCTATAGCAAAGAATAAATCTTATAATTGTAAAAGTAGACACATGAAATTGAGACATGATGTCATAAAGCAGTTGCTGATAGATTGAATAATTTCCATTGATTATGTGAAGTCAGAAATTAATTTGGCCGATCCGCTGACTAAACCTGTGGGAAGAAAATTAATTCTTCAAACCTCAAAAGAGATGGGGTTAAGGTCGACATGTTGTCAATAGAGATGGTAACCCAACCTATGTGATTAGAGATCCCATGAAATAGGTTCATATAGGTAATAACAAGTCGATATTAGCACTGATGCACTAAAAGAGAGTGCTTGATTGCTACTAATTGAGAGGCTGAGTTATAACTCTTAATGAAATTCATAGTCCTTTATGGATGGTATATTTAAAAGCAGTATACACTTAATGAATTCACCTATATGAGAGTGGAGTGGGTCGTTCCTATGAGATTTTGGCCTAGTCTCTAGTGCTCTATTGAATAACCAGGCATGTGCATGACCTATTATGCGCAAAACCGCGTTGAACAACAAAATTATCGGGGGTCAAAATGTGATTGATAAAATCTCCGACTTACAATAAGAATTATTGGTTCATAGAAATGTTATATTTCACCAGTAATTCTGTGAGTTAAATTTTATTGATCTAAGTTTGGTTCATAGTCCAGAAGACACCAAACATATTGCATTTGGACCATACAAATCCAACAAATCTTACTCCTCTTTTATGAATTTTTTGAAAATATGTGGGGATTGTGGTAGTATTTTCAAAATAAATGAGTCCAAGTGTTATGCCTTAAACCAAGTGTCAATATGTATGTAAAGAGTTTTACATGTGGTAAGCCTTCTAGAAGCTATGGACAAATGACTTATTTTATCCAAGTGTCATCTTGCATGAAGGAAATTTAACAAGTAAGTAAAACACTTGTCTTGTGTAGAAGCTTTCCTTAGGCCTATAAATAGCCATGATTAGGCCATCATTCTTCAATCATCAAACACCAAGAAAAGCTAATCATTAGCAAATAAGAAATTCTTCTATCTTCTTTCCCTCTTATACATCCATCTCCTTCTAATTTCTTCTTCTATAATATTTTAATTGGCATAAGATATTAGTTGCGTTCAACACATATTTCACACTTATTAATATTATTTGAGTCTAAACCAGATATTAATCCTAGCGACTGCATTTTCTTTATATACGCGACATTAACATGTCCTAGTCTAGCATGCCACAAAGAAATTGACTCAACCATATAAGCAGAAGAAGATGCATTTTCATTGGTAGTATCAGAAATATTAAGCACATATAAACCATAGTTACAAAATTCATTATCCACAAAAATATCATTTTTGGTCAATACGACCTCATTATTTTCAAATGAAACCTTCACTCCAACTTTTTCTAATAACCCCACAGAAACCAAATTGGTTTGGATATTAGGAACATTCAATACATCACTCAATGCTAGAGTTTTACCAAATGTGAGTTTGAGAAGAATTTTTTCTTTCCCAAGAACACGAGTTGTTCTTGAGTCACCAAGATAAATAGTTTCTTCTCCTTCCTCAACTTGGGTGTAAGACAAAAATTCATTTTTGTTTGCACAAATGTGCCTAGTAGCACCAGAATCTATCACCCAATCTCTCACACTGCCCACATTATTTATTTGAAAAATGACCGCAACAATTATATTATCCGCTTTAATCAAATTTAATTTTGACTTAGCGAGATTGTCATTTATCCCAACTCTATTATTGCATTGAGGTACATTTTTCTTGAAGGTTTTAATATTAGCATTAGATATGTAACCATGTCTGTTCACATACCTGTGTTTGGACATTAGTGTCTGCCAAAGTTGTGGATGCATTAACGTATTTGCAACACCGTGGATATCTGACAGGACAACTGGAACAGTAGTAGTAGAGACAACACCAAAATTGGTGGCACCATCAAAAAATTTCGTAGTAGTATTACTTGCCATAGTTTCTTAGATTGTAGGGAAATGACACCAAAAAATAACAATAATAATACTGCAATAATATTATTTGTAAGCATACACACGAATTGGCTTGAGTCGTGCTATTTGTGAGCGGAAATACACCAATTGGCTTGAGTCGTGCAAGACACTGTCCTAAGAAACTATTTCAGCAATGTGAAATGTTTCCCCAGAATTAAACAAGTTCATCTCTATTTAGATAGAGGATACACGAATTAACAAAATTAAATAATAAATCCAGCAATTTGAAAGAGAAAGAGCAACTAATATCTTATGCCAATTAAAATATTATAGAAGAAGAAATTAGAAGGAGAGGGATGTATAAGAGGGAAAGAAGATAGAAGAATTTCTTCTTTACTAATGATTAACTTTTCTTGGTGTTTGATGATTAAAGAATGATGGCCTAATCATTGCTATTTATAGGCCTAAGGAAAGGTTCTACACAAGATAATTGTTTTACTTACTTGTCAAATTTCCTTCATGCAAGATGACACTTGGACAAAATAAGTCATTTGTCCATAGCTTCTAGAAGGCTTACAACATGTAAAACTCTTTGCATGCATATTGATTCTTGATTTAAAGCATAGCACTTGGATTCATTTATTTTGAAAATACTACCACATGTTATTCTATTTAAGGGGAAAATTTTATTTTGTGTCTCATACAACTGACATTAGTTGTATGAGTCATCTTTGTGTCTCACAGTTTTGTGCACCCAGAAGTATAAGATTGGGGCCCACAAATTTATAAGACAAAAAAGAACCTCACACAACTAATATAAATTGTGTGAGACACACCGTAAAACTTCTCCATTTAAGGGGATTAGAAATGAAACAGGGCAAGTTGCCCGTCCCTGTCCGGTCCATACGAGAAATGGGAATTTTCTCGACAATTGTGATTTAAGGCAGAATGCAGTGTACCACCGTTACCAACCCCCTATGCTAACATCACCAATGCCTGCCTTAACAGTTGTACCTTCCAACTTCTGGATGGTATCTACCTCTTCTCTATGTCATCATCATCAAATCCTAACTGCTGCAACGTGTCATCTATAATTCATGTAACCCCATGTTTTTTCCTGACGTGGCAGCTCCATTGGTTTAATATGTCCTTTGACGTGTACATCAACTTTCACGTGTCATAGCACATACTGTCACTGTTTCATTTTACGCAAATGTATTTGACCGGACATAAACCTGGATAGATAGATGGTAGAACTTTTGTGATTAAATTACTTCACTATAAAAAGCTTATGGAGTAATTAATTATAAAAAGGTTGTTTTTTCTTTAACGAATTAAAAAGGAATAGGCGTGAATATAATGAATCTAAGGGAGTAATTTTTCCCCATAAAAACATCAAATCAACCTATAGGTTTGCACTCACGATAGGTTAATTTACCGAACGCCTAAGTACTTCAGATCAGATTTTTCTTTTCAATGTTCTTGAGCTAATTTATGTGTGCATAACATTACGATTAGTCAAATTTCTCCGAATTCGAGGTAAAAATAGCACGGGCTAGCCAGTTTTCGAACTGATCATTGAAAAATAGCCAGCGTTTATAAAGTCATTGAAAAATAATCACTATTTTGCTGCTACACAAAAAGTTCCAGCATAATATACTGGAGATCGGTGCACCTGTGTATGAACTTCCAGCATATTATGTTGGAACTCCGGAAAAAGTTCCAACATAATATATTGGAGATTGGAGCACCTGTGTATGAACTTCCAACATATTATGCTGGATCGGTATATTATACTGGAATTCTAGTATGTTATGCTGGAGTATTTTCCAGATTTTGAACAGCATTTCATTTTGATTTATCTTTACATGACAAATGACTAAATTTCGATTACTTTTGAAATTGCGACTATTTTTAAATGACCACTTGTAAATCTGACTATTTTTGAATTTCTTCCGAATTCGAGAGCCTAATCAGATATCAAATTTAAGGGTCGGAAAGCTTTATACTACATAAGCGGCAAGAAGAACGTAATACTACTATACAACATTGAGTAAGCAGATGGGGGAAAAAAAAAAACATCGAGTAAAAAAAATCAATGACGAGAACAATGTTTTTCGAATGGGTTAATGGGTGCACAATTTTACATATAAAAAAGGAAACGAGATAAGGATGCTATGTAAGTTTGGAAGATGAATCTTAAGTGTAGTGCCAGTTGAAATTCTGTCTTTATCATGTTTCCACTATATTTCACCTTTATGTACACACTGCATCACACTTCTCAGAAGAAACTTTGATCCAAATCTAATTGAAGTTAGGCAGTCCAGAGTGTGGATTGTAATGAAGTGACGTATTGGAATTTGAGTCAGGGGCGGCAGCTAGGTTGAATCATTATCTGGCTCTTCTTCAGTATCACTCTGTGATTGAGGACCCCAAAATTTTGATTCCAGGATGCCTGAATCAGAAGAGATAGGAACCATCGCGTTGTTGAAGTCCTGAAAATACAAGGCACTATGGTCTTCGTTATTACACGCTGTAACTATTCTACATCCATCAACAGCCATTGTAGAACACCCAAAGCCTGGAGGGGAATCACATTGAAGACAACTAAGCAAAGAACATGTTCGTCTACCATTCCCCGTCTCCCAAACATGTATTTCGATATCCTCCAGCCCACCACTAACAATTTTGTAGGGATCCATGTACAAAAGGTTTACATTGCCTTTATGTCCATCTAACTCCGCTACTGCTTCTCCCTTCTGTATGTCACCGCCTCTTCTGACATCCCAGAGCATTGCTCTGACAACCATTTGCATTAGCTTTTATCAGTTATCTTCCAATTCAACAGCAGTATAACACAAACCTAAGAGATACAACCCAAGAACGAAAACGACAATACAGAGGCCAGCTGATGCATAATGATGTAACAACTTATCAAACAAAGTCAAACCTATGAGTGGCAAGAATCCAAGCATTGAGTCTGAAAGATCATACCGTTGAGCTAACCCTGTGCAGATCAATGATTTCTCTGGCAACATTTGAAAAGAATGTAATTCTTCTTGATGGTTCACTTTAAAGACTTGACGCATTGTTCTTATATCAATTGCAACAACCGAGGAACCAGCCGCAACATAGATTAGTGATTCATGACACTTCAGTGCCTTAGGTGCGCCAGGCACAGTGCTCTTTCCCACACAGCATGAAGAGCGAACACTAGATGAAGTAGAAGTGTCCCAAACCATCACCTGCCATGAGCAACTAAAGTTAAGGTTGAAAGCAACTATTGATTCTACACCAAGAAGCACAAAAGTTCCAAAAGAAACTAAACTAAAGAGGTAATAGTGGTTCAAGGATGCAACTTGTATGCGGATAATCATTGCAATCAAAAACTTTGACAGAACTAGCTCGAAGCTGCACTGCTTGTTTCAGCCACTTGACCCTTTTTTTTTTTCACGCCACTTAAGCCTATTTTCACTTAAATGCTGCGATGTTAAAAACAATTATTACTGAGAGTCTGCGAGATGTTTGCTTAAAGGGAATTGAAGTTTTTCTCTTTGTTAAATGCACCGTGGGAATATAAATGATAAAAGAAATTTATTCTTCTGCAAAACTACATGAAAAAGGTAAAAAGGGAACAAAGGGATATAGAAAAATTATGTCTTGTCTCTCAAAGAACTTGTGCAAACTAGATTCTGCAAATGAGATCACAGAAATATTAATACTTTCTAGGAGGGCCTGGAGTTCGCTATACATACTCACTTCAAAGTATGTGGTTTAAGGAGGAGAATTTGCAATGTCATGGTTGATTATCAAACTTCACGAAAAGAAAGAATGTATCATTATGGAAGTTAACTCACTTGGTTTTAGAAGGGAAGTATTGTGGGGAACACATCAAGTATCGCAATTTCTTGCAAGGCTTTACAAATCATGCATGTAGGGAAAGCTGAGTTCAAAGGCAACTTAGATTAACAGGGGACTATGTAAAAGGACAGAATAAGATGATCCCCTGAAGGGACAACTTGGCACACGACCAAGCTCAACTGCCCCTCATGCTTCTACTTTTCTAGAGAAAAAAATGGAAAGCATTAGAAGCTTGCAGAAATTTTCAAATCCTTGGAAGAATATTTTTTCCACCCATTTTCCTTAACACCACATAGTAATTCACAAGATGTTAACAACAAATGCTAAAAAGAGGACTAGTAAACAAGAGAAGGAACTTCCTTGTGGAATTTTCTCTCAATCTAAAGTACGAGTTCTAACTTAAGAGCTAATTCTGCTAATAAAAAAGGGCAATCGGGCACACAAGGTATCTCGCATTCACACTAAGGCTGTATTGTGGGCCGGCCCCAGCCCGGGACCGATAGCAAACGGGCCAAACGGGCCAAACGGGCCGGTCCCTAACGGTCCTAAAAGCCCACTGTGGGCCGGTCCTCCCAAAATAGACCGCGAGCCCGGGACCGTTTAGCCCAGGACCAG